CAAAAGAACAGTTTGATACTCAAAGATCACATCCTACAAGCTCAAGAAAGGTCCATACTGACAAGTAGGAAATCAAGCAAGGGTAACAGTAGGCCAGCATGGATAAGCAAGGAATTCCTAACAGAACTCAGACATAAAGAGGAAGTATATAAGACATGGAAGAAGAGGCAGATGGCTCAGGTGAAATATAGAGTTGCTGTCTGATCTTGTACAGGTAAGTTTAGGAAAGCCAAGGCCAATGTGGAGCTGAATTTGGCCAGGTATGTGAAAAGCAACAAGAACAGACTGTACAAGTGTGTGATTAGTAAAAGGAAGACTGAGGTAAACATGAGCTCACTCCAGAGTGGGACCTGATGACAAACAAAGTAGAAAAATACTGAGGTACTCAATGGCTTATTTGACTCAGACTTTACCAGTTTAAATGGCCTTTAGAAATCCCAGACTGCTGAGATCAGTGGGAAGGTCTGGAGAAAGGAAGACTGCCTTATTTCAGGAGTAACAGCAAAGAGAGCATGTAAACCAACTGGACACACAGGTCTGTGGAACAGGATTGGCTGCACCTGTGAGTGCTGAGAGAACTGGCTTATGTTGTTGTGAGGACAGTCTCATTTATCCTTGATAAGTCATGGTGACTGGGAGAAATTCCTGAACACTGGAAACAGCAAATGTCAGTCCTTTGTGAATCAGGATCTGGGGAACTACAGGATGGTTCATTGTCATCTCAATCCTTGGGAAGGTGATGGAGCAACTAATTCTTGAAACCCTTTTCCAAACACGTGAAGGTCAAAGAGGCGATTGGAATTAATCAGCATGAATGTATGAAGGGGAAAGCATGTTTGACCTCACACAGTTCAACAAAGGGAAGTGCAAAGTTTCTGGGGAGAAATAACTTTAGGCATAATAATAATAACAACTCTACATATGTATAGATATATATGCATAATAATATATGCATAATAATAATAACTCTACATGCTGAGGGGTAACCATCTGGAAGACAGCTCTGGAAGTACCTGTAGTCTTGCTAAAGAACAGGCTGACTGTGAACCAGCAATACACTCTTGTCACAAAGAAGGACAAGAGCCTCCTGGATTGCATTAGAAAAGAACTGCCAACAGGTTGAGGGGAGATGATTCTTGCTTTCTGCTCAGCACCAATGAGGCCATGCCTGGATGCTTGGTCGAGTGCTGGGCTCCCTAATACAGAAATGTGGACTTACTGGAATGAGTCCAGTGAAAGGCCACAAAGATGATTAAGGACTTGGAGCATCTTTCATAAGAGAAGAGGCTGAGATGGCTATAGCTGTTAAGTCTGGAGGAGGGAAGGCTCAGGGTGATCTTATCGATGTGTAAAAATCCCTGATAGGAGGGAAAGAAGAGGAGGATGCCAGACTGTTCTCAGTAATACTCAGTGACAGGACAAGAGTCACAGGGCACAAATTAGAAAATGAGATTAAATCAGAACAGATGGTGATGGTGGCCAAACTTGGGAATAGATTGTCCAGAGAGGATGTGGACTCTGCACCTCTGGAGATATTTGAATCCCAACTGGACACAGTTTGGAGCAACCTGCTCTAGCTGACCCTGATTGAATAGGGAAGGTAGACTAGATGATTTCAAGAGATGCCTTTCATCCTCAGTGGTTCTTGATTCTGTGTCAGTACTAATCTTCCCAATCTGAAAATAAAATAGGATCATGTAAAATTATTTGAGATTTCTATTTTAGGCTCAGTGTCCCAAAAAGTAATCTCCAGCCATGTTATACCCCATAATGCAATGTTAGGATCTGTTTAATTTATTGAGGCAGAGAAAACAGAATCACATACTAAGCCAACAGGATTGTTTCATATTGCACCTGGTATTCCTTTGAAGTCACCTAGTCAAGTTCTGACGGAGCCCAGCCCTGCTGGTTTTCTGAGGTCTGATCAGATCAAGCCCTGGGGCCATGCATCTAGCATCTAGCATTTTATACAGCTGTCTTTGGGACTGTGTTGGAAGTAATAATCTGGCAAGTGCCAGATTATTCATCAGTCCATATGATAAAATACCTGCAGCTTGAAAGTATGTTTTGCTTTCCTAATGGGCAACTATGGAAAACTGTAGTTTACATTCCTGCCTTTGTGTGAGATGCTGACAGATTAAAATAGCCACCAATCACATTTGTTCATATAGAACATTGAAAATAGCTTACAGGAAATCTAAATAGACATATTCAATGTGCATAGCATAAAGATAATTAGGTTTCTGATTTAGTAGTCATTTCTAACTTGAAATAAATGTGAAATGCATTCACATTCTAAATTGCTGCAAATATATTTTTACCTGCTTTAGTTTGTTTCAGTTGCTTTTTAGTAGGTTTAATTTATGCCTATGTTACCAGAGTATTAGGATACCCTGGTAACTGTCCAAGATGGAAATCAGCCTTATCTACTATATTTGAGATTCTGAGGTCTTCAGCTGAAAATTCTAGTATAAGACACCACTTGTTAGATTTTGAGACACATCTTCATTAATTACTATTTATACTGCCAGAATACCTAGGAGTTCCTGTTGAGAGTTGAAATATCAGTTATAAGTTAGACAGAGGATACTTTTATTGTAATTTTTTAGAATCAAAATAAGGTAAGAGACAGGTGATGGATAACTCTCTCGGTGATCCTGGGAGAATCTGAGACAATCTGGTAGAAAGTCCCTTGAGAATATCTCGACAGGTTGTGTTTTTCTGTAGGTATCAGAGGTCTGAAGAAAGAGACTGAAGTACATTTGAAAATGTTTATGAGTAGTTTCTCCCTGCAATTAGAATGTGGGAATTCATGGAAATATAAGTTAACGCATCAACAAGGATTTAGACAGCATGAAGGTAGGCTGTGAAAGGCTTGGAAGTGAGGATAGATGAGAAGAACCTGGAGGTGGAAGCCTAGAGAAAGGCCTGAGTTGAAGTTTTGCCCACGTTTACAGACCTGAACAACAGACTGAGTGAACAGCCTCAATGAACAAGAAAGGATGAGGTTGGCATCTTTCCATATGGGAAGTTAAGAGCTCTGTTAGAGCTTGTTGAACAGGACATGATAGATATACTACTCCTCAGAGATGTCAGCTAGACAGGCTGCAGTTTTTGGTTTGACAAGGAGATTAGCTCTGTGAGTTATTAGCATTGTAATTAGAATTGGTTGCTGCATCTGTTTTTGCAAATCAGATTCTTCAGAAATATGCCAAGCAGAGCTTTGTAGTGGCTTAACATCCAGCCAAGTACAGTCAGTCTCAGTTCTTAATAAGAAAGGCTTGATACCAGTTAGCAATTACTTCCTGGGTTTTTTTAGACCCTTGGAATAATTTTAAGGAGTATTCTCAGTGTAGAAGTTCCAAAGAAGGAGGCAAAGTTCCCTTTTATCTCTCCAGTAACTAGATATTTTGATGGAATCCATCAATGATGTAACAGCAGTGGAGAGTCTTGGGATGTTATTCTGTGAGAGGAAGAATGTGAGGACAATCAGAGAAGTGCAAAGTGCTACTCTGGAGAGTTACAGAAATACAAAGAAATATTCAGAATCCCAGATTGGTGCTGTGTTCTGGTATCAGTGTCTTACATTCACAAATAAACCTCCTAATAATGTTTGAATCTCATCCATCCAGCTTAGTTGTACTCACCAGTTTAGCATTTGCCATAATAATTTGCAATGGATGATCTTGCCTACACTTCCATAATCCCACTGAGCCAGTTTGGACAGTCCAGGTCTTAAACACACAACAGCCCATAGTCAAAATATTTTGATGGGTGCAATGTGCTCGTTCAGTTTCCTCCAGGGTGTCCTACCTCGTGGCTGTCTCTCCCACGCTCTGGCTTGGGAACTACTGCCAGAAACAGCCACCTCTGGGGACTACTGCTTCTTCCTAGTAGCAACCGTGTCCTTTCTTTGATAGTGGGTGGTCATCCTCCTGCAGATCAGGAAGGGAGAGGATTGAAAGGAGTGATTTGGTGCTTGAAGAGAAGAAATCTTCCCACTTGAAATGTTCAAAACCATTTAGGACAAAGAGCTGAAATGCTTTGTAAGGGGTAACTCTGCCCTGCTGTCAGAATTGCTCGGGTCTTCATTTCCTTGTTTCTCTAATTCTCCCATCTGTTATGTACTAATCAGCTCTTCATAGTTGTGGCATACAGACAGCACTTCCATGCCTGGAGGTAGAGATATTCCTTTGTGTTTCCTAGGGTAAAATAAACTGTTTGAGAAATAGCTGGTTGTTCAAGTGAGACAACTGACGTGTCTGTTTCCACTGTAGTTGCCTTGCCAATGGCATCGGATCTGCAGTTGTACGATGTGTCCCAGAGCAGCATGAGAGCAAAGTGGAATGGAGTAGCTGGTGCCACAGGTTACATGATCCTGTATGCTCCCCTCACAGAAGGACTGGCAGCAGATGAGAAGGAGGTGATGTATTGTGCTTTCATTTAAATTGCAATTATTAAAAAAAATATTTTAAAGAATAAGCTAGTACATGGCCTTGAACTCCAGCTTGATCAGCTTTTTTTTTTTTTCATGACTGCTTTAAGTATTGTATATATTACAGCCTATGAATAAAGTGCAAGTACCAGTAGATTATTTTTATATGTCATTGCCATAAAAATGCAATAATTTCAGCTCAATTAGTG